TCTGTCTGCCGGATCAGCGTTCCCTGCTGGCCCTCCAGAGCTGTCGGCAGCCTTGGCCCATAGCTCTCCACACTCGTTTCCTGAGCATAAAGAACACACGAGAGATACCAACCCCTACCCACCGAGATGGGAAACCACGTTAGAATAATTTACTTCTGTAATCACATGTACCTTGTTCTCTAAATACTCTCAGGAATTAAGACTTTCTAAATGGTGGTTCAGTGGTAGAAATCTCACCTTCCATGCAGGAGGCCCTGGTTCTCTACCCGACCCGTGCCCCTCATGTGCAGCCACCACCCGTCTGTCAGTGGAGGCTTGTGTGTTGCTGTGATGCTGAGTAGGTTTCAGCGGAGCTCCCAGACTAAGACAGACTAGGAAGAAAGGCCTGGTGATCTTCCAAAATTCAGCCTGCGAAAACCTTATGGATCACAACGGTCGGATCTCTGACCGATCATGGGGAGAGCGTAGGACCGGGCCGCGCTTTGTTCCTTTGTGTGTGGGTTCTCCCCGAGTTGGGGTCGACTCGAGAGCAGGTAACAACAACAAACACTGTCAGGTAATAGACGTCAGTGTTTGTTTGTAATAATAGTGCCAGGTAATTTTTATGGCTCGGTGAGCCTGGCCCTGTTTGAGAGTTTTACTGGAATTACAAATAAGGTGCTTTCTGAACAAAAACAAATCTAGGTCTTAGTATCTGTCTTAGTTATCTAGTGCTGCTGTAAGTGGATGACTTTAACAGAAAATTATTCTCCCATAGTCTAGTAGACTACAAGTCCAAATTCAGGGCGTCAGCTCCAGGGGAAGGCTCTCCCTCTCTGTCAGCTCTGGAGGAAGGTCCTTCTCGTCAATCTTTCCCTAGACTAGGAGCTTCTCTGCAGGATGCTGTCTACTCATGGTGCTTCTTGCTTGGTAGTATGAGGTCCCCACTCTCTGCTTCCCTTTCCTTTTATCTCTTGTAAGATAAAAGGTGGTGCAGGCCACACTCCAGGGAAACTCCCTTTACATTGGATCAGGGATATGACCTTAGTGAGGGTGTTAAAATCCCACCCTGATCCTTTTTAACGTAAAATTACAATCACAAAATGGAGGACAACCACACAATACTGGGAATCATGGCCTAACCAAGTTGACACATATTTTTGGGAGACAGAAGTCAATCCATGACAGTGTCTCATAGAAACTATGCTTTGCGAACATGTCAGCAGATTTTATCTGATGAGTAATGGCTCCTGACATTTAAATGTATTTCTAATAAAAAGAACGTGTGTGATGTTTGCACAGTGAAGCCAATACCGTGGTTCTTTGGTGTTACCATAAGCCTGGCAGTAATTATCCGTCAGCTTTTCTCACCCTTCCAACCCCTGTCCGTTTTGACCTCAACCATCCCAGCTGTCTACAGTAGACTTAAACACCCAGGCCACCCACCAAGTCCAGATGATAAGGGGAAGTAGAGCTAGGCCTTCCCTTCCTGATTTCCCTTCCTGAGCCCCCTGCCTCATCCCAGGACCTCAGGACAAGTTACTGTACTTCTCCAAAACAAAAAACAAAAAAAAATCAAACCCTTTGCTGACAAGTCAGTTCTGACTCATAGCGACCCTATAGGACAGGGTTGAACTGCACCATAGAATTTCCCCGGAGTGGCTGGTAGATTCGAACTGCCAACCTTTTGGTTAGCAGCCAGGCTCTTAACCCACTGAGCCACCAGGGTTCCCACTTACCTTTCCAGGACCTGTAAAATGGGTGTCATTGTCCAGATGAAAATGTCTTACCGTCTTTTGTGTAACTTTCTGTATCAAGTAACTTAAATACTTTTTATGTTGTAGGAAACGGTTTCTAAACATTAAAAAACGTTTTTTAAATATAGGAAATGTCAGGGATGTTCAAAATTAGGAAAAATCCGACAGTGAACCCCCATATGCCTGTTACCCATCTTTTGCAGCCATCATCCTTTCTTCCTTTTCAGATGATTTTTATGGCAGGATACTGAAACACATCCCAGACATGAATCATGTTTCTCCATAAATATTTCAGTGTGTATCTCTAACAGAAAAAGGCCTTTTAAAAAACAGAACCGCAGTACCATTATTGCACCTCACAGCATTAATAATTTCTCTATATAATAATCTAATATGCAGTTCAGTTTTGGTTTTCCCTGACTGTCCCAGAAATTTCTTTATACTTTTGTGGTTCAGATCAGCATTCAGACAAGACCCAGACGTTGCGTTTGGTTTATCTCTCTCAGTCCTTGTTTTCTTCCCCCTCCTCTTTTTCATGGCGTTTAGCTGTGTGATACTCGTAGATGTATTTTTTTAAGAGTGTATTTTAACATTTTGGAGGGAATTATCAAAGCCTGGTAAAGAGACAAGGTTGTGGGTATAATTGTTGAAAACTCCATGCCAGGGAGCGTTTCACCACACACGCTTCGGTCCATTTTAGACGGTGTTTTGTGGAACAAGCGCACAGAGTTCAGGACATTTTCTTCCTGGGATAATAGCCTCTGAGGTTCAGGGTAGGAATGAGGAGAAAGCCTCATTCAGTGGGAGAGGGAGGACTTTGGTGAGTGTGCTGGAGACAGGGCAGAGGCCCAGGTGGCAGTGAGAGGTCTTATGTGGCCAGGTGGATTAACGGAGGCATGGCAGTGGCGTGTCTGTAGTGGGGGAAGATGCCTTGTCTTGGGGATCTCATCTAGAATGTCAGGAAGTTTGGGGTTGTCTGGGATACACAAAATGGATACCATGAGTTGACAACTAACTTTCTTTTCATTTAGAAACACATTGCTTGAGGGACCCTCGAGAGGGTCTAGTCCAACTCGTTGTTTACAAGCTATGATAGAAAGTTCTAGAAGAATAGTGATGCCATCCATCCATTCATGGCAGGTAGCTGGGACCAGCATTCCAGGGTCCCGACTCCCAATCCTATCACCTCGATGGACAAAGAACCCTGTGGAACCTTTCCACTAGGAGGGAAAGGATAAGACCAAACTTAATGTTGCCTGGCAAGTTTTAGCATTTTTGTTGTTGTTTGTTTTGTTATAGCGTTATTTTGAAACGCAAGGCATGTGTAGATCAGGATAACAGATTAACTGGGCTTCAGTTGGGTGATGTGTTTGTTTGAACAGTGAGGCATCTGGATAACTTGGCAGCAGTGGTTACGGTAAAGCTTCTTGAGGGAGAAACATCGTCTTGGTCCTCTTAGCCTCCTCTCTCGGCCTGAGAGCATGACAGTCTGGAGTGGGATTGGTGTTTTATAAATGTTAAGTTGGTGAGTGGAGGCACTGGAGTGCTGCAGATGCTCAGGAGATGCAGCGCATTCTCAGGACTTCGGTTATGATTGTGCCAGAGCTCCATTTTGTAAAGAGCCCGCAGATCCCAGAAGAGAGAATAGTTTGAAGTTCTCATATTTGAAGCAAACCAGCATTGACGTGATACAGTCTCACTGAAATACTGTGTGATGTGGACTGCAGTAGACGCAGTTAGTACAGCGTGTGAGACCTTGATCCACATGTTAGAGAGCATGGGTCAGATGGTCTTCCTCCTCCCCAGAGAAACATGTACTCAGTCCAGAAAAAAAAAAACACCTGTTACTGTCGAGTGGATTCCGAGTCATAGCGACCCTATAGGTCAGAGTAGAACTGCCCCATAGGATTTCCATGGAGTGGCTGGTGGATTTGAACTGCGAAGCACTTAACCACTGTGCCACCCAGTAAATAAAACAATTAATTATGCATGGAGACCTAATTGGAGCCAAGTATGGCCCTTGCACCTTGCGAAGAAGTGAAGTGAAGATGCTGTGGGAGCCCTGAGAAGAAGGGAGTGCTTTGGTGCTGCTGGCACGCCCCAGCATAAAGCAGGATATGTGTAAGGTTACTTCTTCTCATCCCAGCACCAGTGCTGACTCACTTAGCAGCTGTGTGACCTTGAGTGAGGTACGGAAGCCTCAGTTTTCTCAGCTGTAAAACGGGGATGGTAAGGTTGTGGGCTGAGCTGTGTCCCCCAAAGTGTGTGTTGGACGCCGTGTGAGGGTTGTCCACAAGCCAGGGAACAAGGAGCCCCGGGGCTGTCATCAAGGAGGGAATCCACACGCCAGTTCCTGTTGTGGACGTTTATCCTCCAGAAATGTGAGAAAATAAATGTCTGTTCTTCAGAGCCACCCACGTGTGGTTTTGGTGTTACAGCAGCGCTCGGTGACTAAGACTGCAAGCTCCCCTTTCTCGGGTTGCTCTGAGGGTTGAGTGAGATAACAGGTGTGAAGCATTTGGCGTAGCGTGTGGTACATTGTAAGTGCTCAATAAGTGTCATTATTGTCGTCATCATCATTGCTACTGCCACCACCTCTGCTACTGCCATGACGTGGGACAGAAGTGTCTGGAAGACAGCCACTCCTTTAATCTTTCCAGACTTTCAGGACAGTATTCTCCACGACACAGTCGGCCCTCCGTATCTGTGGGCTCAGCGTCTGCAGATTCACCCAACTGCAGATGGAAAGTATTCAAAAAATAAAAAGAAAGTTCCAAAAAGCAAAACTTGAATTTGCCACGCACCAAGCACTCCGCTGAATCCACGGGAGTGAAACGATGTACAGGCATGCCCTGCTGTAGCCTCCTGCCAACCCACAGATGCTCCCTCCAGCGCTTGTTCACCTCACGCCTTGTCGTCATTCCTTTCGATGGTGCGGGACCGGGAGGCCTCTGTGACGTTGGGACAGGTGGTGGGCTCCGCCCGCTGCTCCCACTTGGGTTGGGGTGTGTGTGTGTCTGTGCAGGTGACGCGGGCCTCCTCTCCCCCCAGGGCGTGCCCGACGTCCGGCTGGCCTACATCCGGTTCGCCCTTTCCTTCTTGGTTGCCGGCGACGACAACACCATCGTGCAAGTGCTGGAGCTGAAAGGTAGGCAGTCCCCTTTGTCCCTCAGGACACCCCGCTCGAGCTTGTTTTCAGAAAGCTAACGCAAACCGTGTTCTCCAGGTTAAAGCACTTGCGGCCTTTGCACCTGCTGTGTATGTTGGAGTGCAGGCCGTCAGTCTGGCGAGCTCTGGTCGGTGTGGTTTTGAGATCCTTGGTCACAGCAAGCAGTGCTGTTCTGGCTGTGTGGTCTGGATACTGAGCCATCCCAACAGAGTAGATGTGCAGACCCCAGAGAGGCAGACTCGTGTGCAGACAGAGGCTCTGTGGCCCAGAACATGCGCACACTCCTAGCCCTGGCTCCCTGCCTTTCCTTAGCCATCATCCAGGTACTTTGGTGCCTCTGCCCAGTATTCCAGAATAGCAGAAACAGGGCTGCAGAGAATTCCAGTGGACCGCCTGCTGGTGGCTGTCCCCCAGAGTGAGTGTGGGCATAATGGATTCTCTTACGAGTTAGTAAACTGTAGGAGTAAAAGGCACACGCCTAGGCCGTGCGCGTCCTACGGCAGGTGTGTAGTAAAAGGCACACGCCTAGGCTGTGCATGTCCTACGGCAGGTGTATAGTAAAAGGCACACACCTAGGCCGTGCATGCCCTATGGCAGGTGTGTAGTAAAAGGCACACGCCTAGGCCGTGCGCG